TTCTGATTTCGGGAAAGGTATCACCAATTCGGGTAAAAAGTATAGAGCACCCTCTTCATCACCTTCGGTTAAGATCTCATCACCTTGAACAATCGTTGGAAGTGTTTCGTTGGTTGATTGTGAAGTAGATGGCTGAGGTTCAAATGGTATATTGATGGGTGCTGGCTGGGGCTAAAGTGGTATATCGGTCACTGATGCTGGCAAAAATTCATGTTCCTTGAAACAATTCTTATTAAGCGGATAAATACCAGTACTTTTAAAGGCGGAAACTATATTTTGTGTGCAAAAGGCCCAACCATAACTTTGGCCCAAAATCTCGGCAATGTTATAGATATAAATTCGTTTTCCCTGATGATTGGCAATTCAAACTCCACACTTCTTATTATAGTATTTTTTAAGTGGGCCGAAAACAGAAACATCCAATGGCTGGAGCTTATGGCTTGTGTGGGGTGGAAATGTAAGCAAGATCACATTATTGGACTTAGCGGTCTCTATTACTTCCAAACTAATATGTGTGTCATGGTTCAACCACTGGTCACATGGTAAGGTTTAACCACTGTAAAAAAATCTCTTTCGAGCTCCATCCTGAAGGATTTGCTGCTCCTTCACTTCCAGGTGGAGCCCAAATAACATAGGTTGTTTGAAATATTTTCTTGGAAATACCAACAGAGTTTCCAATTGCATTTATTGCTCCTATCATGGTGACTAGGGTTCCTCGCTCTGCCGAAGTAATCTGGCCGACTTGCTTTTGGCCCAAAGTAGCAACAACCTTATTTGTACACTGCACCGTAGTTAAAGCCGTTTCATCTACATTGTATATCTGATCAGGGCCAAGTTTACGAGATAAATAAATATCACTCAGATTTTGAAGAATTTGTCAACTACAGGCTTATTGAATCCCATGGCTCGAGCTAGTGACGTTGCTTCAGGATCCTTAATGATAAAGTAGGGTTTCTCTTCATAAACCCGTTGAAACCATTTGGAGCCAGCAAATTTGTTTATTTCCCAGCATTCGGGTACCTTTTTCTTGTAGAAAGTAGCTAGATCATATGCAAAACTTTTTACTTGGGTTGGCGTGAAGCCATGATGAAGATTTACCAAATGTTTGATGTACGAGCTCAATTATTTTTCTTCTGCAGAAGTAAAGATCTGATGACATGCATAATTTGGAGTCAATCTAGGATGCTTGGCCTCATTAAAGTCTATGTTCTCCAATTGTCTCCTGCATTTAGTGACATATCTTCTCAATGTCGTACGGGGAATATTAAAGTATCTTGCCGCTCTTTGTGTAGACCAGCCGCCCTCTAGAACTTTTTGTACTGCTTCCTGCATTACATGCTCTGGAGTAATTGTCAGTTTCTCACCTTTCGGCATCTATAAAAAATAAAGCATTAAAACCAAATTCATTCCCACAGTGGCCACCCCCAAATGAATCCAAAAAGCAGTGGCTACATTTACCATGGCCACTGTAGGAATTATCACATTTTTTAGAAAAATGGTAGATATGATATTCTATACAATTTTTTAGCAGATGAAAACAGGGGAAATATGTGGTCACTAGATACACAATTAATGCCATGGATGTTACTTAGAATAAAATATAAATGATAATGTACAATTTTACTCACTATTTTGATGAAAACGTAACTTTTTGCGTCGCAAAATACACACCTTCTCACTGCTCGAACTACACGTGACTGACATATGCATCGTCACCGTGCAACGTTGCTGATGCTAATGCGCACTTAACAAGTTGTGTGCAGCACGCACCAGGATATAGATTCGCAGAAATTTAAAAGTGTCCACTGTCGGAGCATGGCCACTGTAGGGCACTGTCCCCTATCGAAAATCTATAATAATTACCAAACCCAATATTTACCTTCTTCTTCAGTTGCCAGCTACGGAGGTTGGCATTAATCATAGCTATTTAAATTTTTGAGGCAGTAGCTCTAAATTGTTGTTTTGAGCTGCATCCAAACCATTCTCTCAGGCTCTTAAGCCATGAAATTCGTCTTCTTCCGATGCTTCTTCTGCCATCTATCTTTCCTTGCATTATGAGTCGCAGGATGCCATACTTCTCGCCCCGCATCACATGTCCGAGATACTTTAATCGTAAGTTCAACTTCCTTCTCTTTATCTATTCTTCTCAGTACTTCATTGTTCGTAACTCTATCTACCCAGGAAACCCTCATAATTCTTCTATAGGTCCACATTTCAAAGGCGTTAAGTCGTCTCATTGTGTCTAGTTTTAACGTTCATGATTCTACTCCATAGTATAGTACACTGTATACGTCATTTTGTTAGGCGTAATTTAAGAGCTAATGTTAAATCTTTTTAAAACAAAACAATATTGTGAAATTTTGTTTCATAGTGACCATGAAGAAGTGGATGGAGAAGAAATTAATAAAGAAAAAGTACTACATATATTAAAATCCGAAAGAAACCGCAATAAAGAAATTAAAAACTAGGAAATCTCAAGGGGAAACCGAAATAAAAGCTCTTTTCCTGCTTTTTCTAGTGACGTATTATCGAACTGAAATTGCTTGCTCGGGCCTTGAGTCTCCGCTCCGGGCTGCACCCAGTTCGGCGACTCGGTGTTTCAGGATGTGGGCTCCTCGTGCCAAGGTTTTTGGGATTTTGTTAACTTTTTTGGATGGCTGTCGCCTTTTTGTTAGTTCTTTCCTCTATACAATCATCTCTTACTGAGGCTGAAACGTCTAGAAAAATCATTACCTCTCAATGAAATAAGCATACTCCGATAAACTGCGACCTACCCAATGATACCCAAATGGATACCTCAGATCACGATACATCCTTATCCCAACAGCCTGAACGAAACGTATCTGAAATAATATCCTCCGTATGATGCCTTCGTTGAAACGAAGTCACGAAGCAAAAAACCAAAAACTCAACAAGAAAACAACAGAAACCTAGTAGATCTTATCAAATGCATAAGTCAATTCTTTAAAGAAAACTCAAACAATGGATAATTAACACAGGAAGAACTTATTGACTTCTTTGAAAATGCGTATGGTTCTTCAGATCCTCTCAGTGTCGCCAGAACTAACTCGGAGGATATCGAAGGATTGATAGACTTTCTAAAGAAAATACGTCCTATGTTAAGTCCAAGATATCTTAAATCCCGTTGTTCTAGAATTAAAAACAAAATTATAAAACAAATTTTAAGTAATATTTCTACCGATGATCCTAGCGATACCTAATGATCATATAATCACTAATTCATTGTTTGACATCAATATGGTGACAAGTAGACATTGACAATGAAATTGGTTTCTCAATTGCTTGTTTTGCAACGGTGTCGGCTCTTTCATTTTCTTTTATTCCACAATGTGAAGGGGTCTAAAAAAAACTGAACAGTTCGATTATTGATTTGGCATGAGCTCCGACTTAATTAAACTTAAAATAGACTGTTTAGTAAAAAGTTTGTTTAATGAGGATAATTAACTCAATGAATCACTAATTATTAGGCTATTATAAGGTCAATGTTATTTTCATTGACGAATTTTATTGCCTGAAGAATGGCAAATATTTCAGCAGAGAATATTGTGAATATTGAGTTTGAAATGACCATTCTTCGCTGGTTGTTACAAATGCAGCACCCACTCCATTTTCTGATTTTGACGCCTCAGTATAAATGTAGATGGAGTCGTGATTTAACTTCTCTAACGCTTTGATTTTAAAGAGGTATGATAAAGTATGATTTTTTAAATCATATAAGACTGATATCGCACTTTGGGGTAGATATTGTCCATGGTGGAGGATTATCAGAATTTGTAAGTGTTTATATAGGAGGTACAATGATGTCTAGGTTATTTAGAATTTTGCTGATACGATGATAGAATGGTGGATCTAATCTTTTTCTTGGTTTTTGATGTTCTTTAAGAATTATGACTGTTGTTTCAAGATGAGTTTTAAAGGGATTAAGTTTGCTTGAAATGATTTAGATATAGATAGCTACACCTCCACTAGCAAGGCATGCAGTCGTTCTATTCTTAAAATATGGTGAATAGTTTTTAAGATTGTGACACGAATTTCCTTTGAAATGTGTTTCTTGCAAACATGTGATGGATGGATGAAATTTATTTCTAAGAATTTTAAGATCTTCTTAATGATTATAGTACCCTTTTAGGTTTCATTGAATAATAGAATTGAAAATAGTTTAATTAATAGGATCTGAAGAACCATACGCATTATCAAAGATTTCAATAAGTTCTTCCTGTGGTAATTATCCATTGTTTGAGTTTTCTTTAAAAAATTTACTTATGCATTTGATAAGATCTACTAGGTTTCTGTTGTTTTCTTGATGAATTTTTGGTTTTTGCTTCGTGATTTCGGTTCAACAAAGGAATTATAGGGCAGGATATTATTTCAGATACGTTTCGTTCAGGCTGTTGGGATGAGGATGTATCCTGATCTGAGTTATCCATTTGAGTCTCATTGGGTAGGTCGCAGTTTATGCTTAGTTAGGTATGCTTATTTGATTGAGAGGTAATGATTTTTCTAGACGTTTCAGCCTCAGTAAGAGATGATTGTATAGAGGAATTTATCGACAAAGGAGCTGATTGTTGTACTGTAGTTTCAGTCTCAGTAGGAGAGTATTGTGTAGAAGAAATTGTCAAAAAAGAAACTGATTGGTGTACTTCCTGTAGAGAGTTTAGATGAACAGTATTTTGGGTGTTGTTTGAAGCAGTCTGATTATTTTTATTGGGACACTGAGATGAGATGAGATTGTAAATATCATTAATTCCATTAAACAACTGTATTACCTTATAGAAAGTGTGAAATAGAGTTAACGTTATTGCCTTTTTTAAATCTTTTTATATATTTTTTTAATCTAACTATGAACAGCCGTTTTAAGTGCAACTAATCTGCGTGAAGTAAAGAACTCTGAAAAAACTCTGTTTTATCCATATCACAGTTGTTGTTCGGTTTAGTCAAAGTTATTTTTTATGCATTCTTCATATTAAAAATAAGCAATTAAAAAAAATATGTTTATTTATAACGAAAACACACATACATTTATAATAATTTGTAAACTAATTTAAACCTATATAAATATTATTTAATATTTTTATTTATACAATAAAAATTTATTCTCTACTAAAAACGTGCTTTGGTTATTTCATTATATTTATTTAACTAATCTCAATAAATCGTGTTTTGTATTGTTTGGGAATTAATGTTATCCCAGAGATAAATATTTCAGAAGGCTTTTCCGCTCCTACAGGATTTTCCAGACGATAGTTTCTAATAATTTCACTGAAAAATATAAATATGCTCGACCTGGCCAATATTTCACCAATGCACCTTCTTAAACCTGAAAAAATAATATAAATGAATAAATATTCCTTAATATTAAGGTGAATGTGTTAATATATAATTTAGAAATTTTGACAGATTATTTAAATGAGTTACAGTTTGTTCCTATTAGAGTCTACCATACCACATGACTCGAAACAACACTTCTCTTTTATCCTCGTCTTCTCTACCGTTGTATCTACCCGTTGCTGTGTCATTGTATAAAACTTGGTGCATCCAGCTCGATATATTATATCTTGTATCCAAAAGGTCTTATACTAGGGCAAAAGTTTCTGTAGGAGGAATAATAGGAAAAAGGTTTTTGACGTCAAATGAAATTGATTTTGAATTGTTAGATAGGTAATTAAAAATGTTTTATTTTATTAACTAGTTCTATTGTATTTTTTACGGTAAATTGAGGTGAAAATTTAGGGTGTTCTAAAATAATCTCTAACAGTTTTTTTGGTAGTTTATATGACAGAGCTATATAAAAAGAAACTACAGGTCTTATTGGATGATCAAGTTTATGTAGTTTAATAAAAGAGTATAATTTAGGAGGCTGTGGGTTCATGATGTTGAGGTATTTCTATTCTATTGAATTTAATATTGATTTTGAATTTTCTAACGCTAAAAATTATCACAAATAAATTAAACTAGCGTTAGTAAAATCAAAATCAATATTAAACTCAATAGAACAGAAATACTTCAACATCATGAACCAACAGCCTCCTAAATGATACTCTTTTAACTACATAAACTTGATCACTCAATAAGATCACCCCTTTTTTATATTCAAATAGTTTTTGTATTGGAGGAGATACGTAGACGATGTACTGGTATTTTTTACAGGAACTAACAGACAACTTGGCCAATTCTTATCATATATTAATTCACTCCATATTGAATTCACAATAGAAACAGAACAGAATCAACTTATAAATTTTCTAGATTAAAAATTATCAGACTTAAAAACAAACATGAGTTCTTCGTATTTCACCTACCCACACTGACACGACTATACACAATTCATCATCCCTTCCTACACTACATAAATTGGCTGCCTACCATAGTATGTTACATAGATTAATAGAAATTCCCATGTCAAAAAATAACTTCGAGATAGAACTGAATATCATTAAGCAAACAGCAGTAAACAATAGGTACAACGAACACACAATAAATAAATTTTTAAATCAAAAATTACATAAGAAGGCCATGAAATTAGTATTTCCACCACCAGAGAAAATACCCAGTACCTTCTGCTCGATACATTTACAGGCAAGATATAAAAAAAATAGCCAAACACATAAAAAAGGAATAACACCAGCTTTTAAAACAAACAACAACTTAGCAAATATATTAAGAACAACAAAAGCCAAAAGAAAAAGCAATTACACATTAGTATTATACAAAATTAATGTGGTAACTGCCCAAAAACATACATCGGTCAAACTGGTAGAACTTTTATCAAACGTATAGCAGATCATACAAGGGCTTTAATTACAGAAAAACAGACTCTACGTACGCACTTCATCTTCTAGACCATAATCATTCTTTTAACGTCAAATTCTTAATTCTTCACATTTTAAATAAAGACCGTAAGCTATCTTTATTAGAATCTATGGAAATCAACAAATTAAAAGAAAAACAGACATAATAATTCTGAATGACCAACTTGAGACAAAAAGTTCTCCCCTCCTCAACTTATTCAGTTAAAGACTATAAAGTGTAAACACATACTAAAAATAAGTCACTTGAAAAAGTCATTCTAGCCGAAACATCTGTAATGATAATAATTTAAAATAAATTTTGTGGAAGTGTTGAACACAAAAGTTTTCAGTGCTTATTGTTAGATAAAATGAATTTTCATCAAGTAACGGTCGAATCCATCACTTCATAATACTCTAGTTTGAACTCGTCTTATGCCCCTAAGAAGGTTATAACACTGGGTGATTAAAAGGTAAAAGAGCTATAGGCAGATCTTCTAAAAGGTACACCTACCACATCGTCTCAATCATTGGCTTTTCACTAGCAGAATGGGCAAGATTAACGGAATGTCGAGAAAAATGTAGGTACATTGGCAAAACGAACTTATGATAACTCATGATAACACAATATCTGTATCAGGTTCTCTATAGGATTAACATCCTAAGAGTTTGTTGGACATTCTAATCAGGTGATTAAAAGGATTATGCGTAGCTGGAGGATATTAGTGAGACGGAGGCGCAGTTCGGGTTCCAACAATCGAATAGGTAATCGAAGGATTATTTGCCATCAACATACTGATTCAGCGATGTCGGGATGTAAACGTTAACCGACACTTGTGTTTTATTGGGCTACGAAAAAGCTTTCGATAGAGTAAAATATACAAAATTAATATCAATACTTATGAATCAATACATTGACAGTAAATTCATAAAGATAATCCAAACATTATATTGAAACCAAAGTGCAATAGTTCAAATTGATGGAGAACAGTCAGAAGAAATGAAGATCTGTAAAGGAGTTAGACAGGTATGCGTTTTATCGCCACTTTTATTTAACTTATATTATGAAGAAATTTTTAAAAACACGCTTAATAATATCAAAGCGGGAGTTACCTTCAACTGAAAATTTGACGCAAAAAGTTTTTATGATTGTTCAATGTAATATATTATTATTTAGGTAATACTTTCGACGATACAGCTTTACTGATTTCGTATTTACAACATAAAAGAAATTTTAAAACAATAGTAAATATCAAATAAAAGTTACACTAACCTATTCCATAAGGAGAAAACCGTTCAGGAACAGAAAGTTTGCCATCTTCGTCCAAAAACCTTTCTGGTCTAAATACTTCAGGATCTTTCCAATAACTTTCATCTTGATTTATGGAATAGAAATTCAAAAGTAGGGTTGTGTCCTATAAATAAAAATAAATACATATGTGACAATCATTGTTATTAGTAAATAAATTACTTTGGGTATACTATAACCTCCCAAATGAGTGTCTTGCATGGCTCTTTTTGGACCACTGACTGGAATTACATGACAATATCTTTGAACTTCATACACCACTGCTTCAACATACGGTACCCTGCAAAAAATAAGTAACAGAGTAGAATAAAGTTTTTTATTAGTATCATATAGTATCATATAGTAAAATAACACAAAAATTAACGAATGACATAACATCAACTGCAAAAAAGATCTGTGATAAAAATAAAAATCCCAGAAAAACGAAACTGATACAAACAACACTTAATTTAATGGAAGAAAGAAGAAGAACATCGAAAGAATTACCAGAATATAAAGCTATCAAAAATAAAGTTAAAAAGAGCATAAGGTCAGACTTGCGGGCTTATAAAACAAAACAAATATTGCAAACCATCGAAAACAATAGAAACATGAGAGTATTGAAATCAAATTTAACTAAAGGAAAATCAAAGATAACTAAAATCAAAAATCAACAGGGGAATTCGGTGACCGAAAAAACTCAAATAATCAAGGAAATACAAACGTTCTATAAGAATCTTTATACATCTACTATACAGAACCCCGAAACAGACCACAGAACAATTCTAAACGTCGGCTCGGAAACCCTCCCTAAAATAACCTCTTCGGAAATTAGACATGCCTTACAGCAAATGAAAAACAAAAAAGCTCCTGGCGAGGATCGTATAACGTCTGAAATGTTAAAAATGGGCGGCAACATCGTTGTAGAAGTTATGGAAGTCTTACTGAATAAGTGTCTAACAGAAAAAAGAATACCCAGCCTATGGGAAAACGCCGAAATAATACTTTTATACAAGAAAAGAGACACTACTAATATTGAATACTACAGACCTATAAGTTTGTTGTCACACTTATACAAATTGTTAACAAGAATAATAACCAACCGCATAACACAAAAACTTGATTTATATCAACCGGTTGAACAGGCGGGATTTAGAAAAGGGTTTGGTACTAATGATCACTTACAAACCATCAGAACACTAGTAGAAAAAACCACAGAATATAATGTACCTTTACATATGGCATTTATCGACTTTCACAAGGCTTTCGATAGTATTGAGACTTGGTCCTTTTTGTCAGCCCTGAAGTATGCTCGAATAGACTCACGGTACACTACACTCATTAAAAACATTTATGAACAGGCCACATTCCGCATCAAAATCAATGAAGACGAAAAAACTGAAAAAATGCGCCTTGATAAAGGTATTAGACAAGGTGATACTATTTCACCAAAGCTTTTTACCTTAGCATTGGAAAATGTATTCAAACAGCTTGACTGGGAGGAAAAAGGTCTAAACATTGATGGTGTACGTTTGAGTCATTTGAGGTTTGCGGATGACATTAGTACAGATATCAAGGAACTGGAGCAAATGTTGAAGGAATTAAACCAGCAGCAGTCAAATAAAATAGGTCTCAAAATGAACCGTCAGAAAACAAAAATAATGAGTAATTTACAAACTAATCTTGTTATTGACAACGTCAGTCTTGAAAATGTAGACCACCATATATATCTTGGACATACCATTAAAATCGGCAAAGAAAATCAAATAGCCGAAATAAAATGACGCATACAACTGTCTTGGGGAGCTTTCAGCAAATTAAGCTTTATTTTGAAGAATAAAGATATACCAATGTGTCTAAAACGTAGAGTTTATGACAAATGTATCTTGCCTGTAACTACATATGGACTGGAGACCATGGCCTTCACAAAGAAAACCTTAGAACAGCTCAGTACAACCCAAAGAGCAATGGAGAGGGCCATGCTAGGGATTAGTTTGAGAGACAGGATTCGAAACAACGTCATTCGTGAAAGAACAAAAATTACTGATGTCTCAGAACGTATTGCAAGGCTCAAGTGGCAATGGGTCGGACACGTTGCCCGAGATAATCCCGAAAAATGGACACAAAGATTAACAAACTGGAGACCAAGAGAGAACAGGCGAGGAGTAGGCAGACCGCAGAAGAGGTGGACAGACGATATCAAACAAGTCGCGGGCAAGCAGTGGATGAGAATTGCCAAAAGTAGAAATCGATGGAAGCAAATGGAAGAGGCCTATGTCCAGCAGTGGACGAACACAGGCTGAAGAAGAAGAAGAAGATTAGTATCATAACAAGGTATATATATATATATATATATATATATATATATATATATATAATATATATATATATATATATATAGAGAGAGAGAGAGAGAGAGAGAGAGAGAGAGAGAAAAGAGGAAAAGGAAGTAATACAATTTTATTAAACTTAATGAGAGCATCTAGAGTTTTAATACGGATTAAGACCATGAATCCGTTAAGACTTTAGACCCTGAATCCGTTGTCGAAGTTCAATATATTATATCGCTCAATATATTATAATTTTGCCGTTGACATTGTCAAAAGATCTTTCCACAATGCTACCAGAAAGATCTTTTCTGCATGAAGTTCAGATCACGCACGAAAACACCGTCAAATATCTAGGCATCCCACCTAAACTAACAATATAAAAATTCAAGTATTTTTTGCGCAATAGGCAAAGAGAAAAGTTTTTTTTTTAATTTCCACAAGGAACATGAAATTCCTTTAGTTGGCTGTATACCATAAATCACAAAAGTTATATTTAAAAATCTTTATAAAGGATGTAGTCCTACCCATCGAGCAAAAAGACAAAAGAGGGAATCTAATCGTTATGAAAAGGAGACCAAAAAAGTGGCCTCTGATGGCGGACATATCCGGAAATGCGAATGCGCCAAATTTAAATTTGTCGACACTTATTAACAGTAGCTATAAATTAGTTTTCAGAATGTGTCTTAGACGAGAAACTTTAAATAAATATTAACGGTAACAGTTTAAAATGTGACACAATTGTTAAAAAACTTCAATATAAATAAGATTTCATGTGACAGTTGGGACAAACAATAACATAACTCAACTAAATTTATTTTCTTAAACAAGGAAAGACTCTCTTTCCTTGTTTAATGTGGCCTCTCAAGATGGCTCTTCCTGTCTAACAATATTTTTGCCCCCACTACCTTTACATTCCTTTTTTTGTCTTTTTGCTCGATGGTCCTACCAGAGGTCTAAGAGAGTCATTAATATTTATTATCGATAAGTGTCTACCGCAAGGCAGCGGGAGATCGTCTTTGGACAGGATCGAACTTTTATTTTCGATTTGCATTACTTATTCGATTGTCATGTTAGGTGTTTAAAAGCCGGTTTTTATCATTATCTACTAAAGTTATAATAGTTGCAAAAATATTTAAATACACTACATTCACATATTTACAAAACTTTATTATTTCTTATTTTTAAAATTGAGGTGTGTTTAAAAGCGGATTTATACCGTTATCAACTGAATTTATAAATACAATTCAAAAAGTACTTACATTTAAAAAAAGTTACATGGACAAGTCAGTTTCACTATCACTGTTGTTATCTAGATCTATAACATTGTTTCTTTGAGCAACCTATATGTGTTTTCCTTGCTGTCATTGGTTATTTTCTCAATTTCCAATCCATCAGTAACAAAACAACCGACAGTAAGTAGAAGAAAAAGAAAAGACACTGGTATGATTAGGAAACTAGACCGAAGTGATGTGCACCTCATTAGAAAAAAAAATTATAACATGTATGAATAATAGATAATCCCCACGTTAAAAAACATCATTCAGAAGTTGCAGAAAGATGACAGGCAATGTCTTCTAAAAAATGGCTTTAAAATAAAAACGGATCAATAAACGCCAAGTAATTATGGAATCTACTCGTCTACAAATATGGAGGACGGAATTTTTAATTTAAATTCATAAATACAGAGAAAGTGGAAGAAAAATTGTTTATCTAGATGAGACGTGGTTTGACACCAATGACGTTCCAAAATATGTTTGGGCAGATTCTTCTGGTCGCTGTACAACAAAAGCTTCATCAAATAAAGGAAAACGTATAACAATAATCCATGCAGGAACAAAAAATGGTTTTATACCTAATGCTTTAGCCCTGTCATGCAAAAACATTAAGGATTCCCGTGTCGACTATCATAATGACACTACGTCATAATTATTTGAAAACTGGTTTTCAACGAAGTTATTGCCAAATATACCACCTAACTGTGTAATTGTGATGGACAATGCTAGCTACCACAGTCGGAGGCTGAATAGAGTTCTATGTGCTAATGACACCAAACTTAGAATATATATATATATATATATATATATATATATATATATATATATATATATATATTATGAAGATAATTATTCTAGAAAACAATTCCTTAAAACTTTAAGATTATTTCCATCAAAAAACAATATTATTGCGATAGTTTGGCGGAAGAAATGGGTCATATAGTATTAAGACTTTCTTCTTACTATTGCATGTTAAATTCGATTGAACACATCTGGCATGAGCTAAAAGCATCGTCAAGGAGAAGTAATGTTTCGCCCACTCTAAATTCATCTGTGGTTCGTCTAATTAAATTAGAAATGGAGAAAATAGCCAATGAAGACTGGAAAAATAGTGTTGCCCATGTTCTAAAGATGGAAAGATCTTATATAAATATAGATAGGTTGCCAAAGAAACAATTATTAAAGATCTAGATAACGACAGTGATAGTGAAACTGACTTATCCATGTATTTTTTTGTAAGTACTTTTTGAATTGTATTTATAAATGGTAAACTAATAAACTCTTCTTATTCTTCATGTGCCATCTCCTCTGAGAAGGTTAGCAACCATCATGGCAATTCGCACTTTCGATTCCACTGCTCTAAAGAGGTCAGCAGAAGTGCAGTTAAACCAAGCTCTCAAATTGTTTAAACAGGAGATGCGTCTTCTTCCGCGACTCCTTCTACCCTGTATTCTTCCTTGCATTATTAATTGCAACAAGGTATAATGCTCGCCACTCAGATATTGCAGTTTTCTGACTTTAATTGTATTTAAAACCTCTTTATCTTTTCCCATTCTTCTCAACACATCGACATTCGTAACTCTATCAACTCAACTTATTCTTAATATCCTTATGTAGTCCCATAACTCGAAGGCTTCTAATCTGTCCGAAACATCTTTCTTTAATGTCCAAGCCTCCAAACCATAAAATAATACGGAGAACACGTAGCATTTCAAAAGACTTTTCTTTAAAGAAATTGAAATGTTCCTGCTGCAGAGTACTTTTTTCAGTTTGTTGAAAGAATTTCTTGCCTGTCCTATTCTTGCCTTAATTTCTTCTGTGGACTGATTATTTTCGGTAATTATTGTACCAACATATTTATATTTTTCAACTATTTTAATTTGTTCTCCATGTATTGTTATGTTTTCTTGGCTCTGTTGGGTTTTTATAATTACCATAAATTGTTTCTTTTTTGTGTTTAGGGACAGTCCGTTTACTTCACTGACTTTTACCACTCTGTCAACCATTTGTTGACTAAATTCTCAAGACATTCCGCTAATAAAATAGTGTCGTCGGCATATCGTATATTATTGATTGGTCGGCCATTTACTTTTACTCCCATAGTTAGTTCTTCTAGTGCTTCCTGGATTATTTCCTCTGAATATAAATTGAACAAAGTAGAAAACAGGACACAAAAAGACGTTGTTCTCTTTTACCACAGCGATCTGATTATAATAGATAGCACAAATGATCCTAATATCTCTCATATCTAAGTTTTTCTTTTCAAGTAATTCGATAAGACGGTTATGTCTTACCTTATCGAAGGCTTTGTTGTAATCCAAGAAATACATATATACTGGCTGATTAACATCCATGCACTTTTGCACAAGTACATTCACAGCGAACAGGGCTTCCCTTGTTCCCAGTGCATTTCTAAATCCGAGTTGTGTGTCACGTAGGCCTAAGGCCCGGCGCAAATTGAGGACAGCCCACGCACATCCCACGCGCAGCCCACGTATGGTCCAACCTAGTCCAAGTACACGTTTTTCAATACTAACGCATATTGAACACAGCCCACGCCCATGTCAAATATTTGTAAAGCCTGGACTATGCATAGAAGATTGTTTTCGCAAATACTATTCAACGAAAAGATAGACTGTCTTCAGTATATTAGTTAAAATAAAGATTTTATTTTCTAGACCTTTTAATTTTTACCTAATATCCCACTAACAATTTCTAATCTGAAAATATAAATATCCTGAAAACTTTTACAAATGCTAAGGATAAAAAATTGAAATCCAACAAAAGACTATAGATATAATTTGAATACGCTGCTTTTGCCGATTTGACTTTCTTATTACTAATTAGCATAACAGGCAGATATTGTAACTGGCCATAATGCCGTTGAATATTCCGACTTTCATTTCGCTTGTTTTGAAAACTCCATCGGATATTAATTTCTTGGAAACTTTTACAATGCTGAGAGTACTAAGTTGGAATCCTCTAACAAAATACTATACAGAGTATTGTTGAAATAAGTGAAATAATGTAATAAACAACAGAAGAGCTAAAAAAAATACAAAAATTCCAGATCGTATTTTGTTTTCGAGATAAATTTAAATTTGAAAATTTTTTATTATTTTTCTACTTTCTTAAAGTTCTTTTTTAATTTAATTTCAGTGTATAAAAGCCATTACAATATGAGCATCACGAAAAAGTACCATCAAATTTTATTTAGAAGTTTTCATCTTAGGTGTTCATAAACGTTTTGCTAGGAAATGAAAATTTGTTTTTTTCCCTTAGTTCTCGATTTGTTATATTTCTCATTTAATTTAATAAAAAATTAATTTTTTTTTGATAATTATAACGGCGACTTACATCCGAGTTTAGCTTAGCACAAATAAAGAAAATATTAGTTTTGTTCTCATGTAATCTTCATTACTAGTATCATACAAGACACTAAAGCTTCGAATAATTTCAATAAACTTTTCCATTTTCACTGAATAACAAAAAATTGGTCACACAAAACAAAATAACTAAGTCATGAATTTGAATCATGAATTTGTTGCTTGTGTGAGTCCATTTCAAATAGGTAAAGAAATAATAAATCAGACTTACTCACAATCAATTTAATTTAACTATCCGACGACCGGTTTCGCTTTCTACAATATGCAAAGCATCTTCAGGTCTCGGTACAAAGTTAAACAAATGCTGAAATGATAAAAACCCATATTAGGGTGTTGTCTAATAAAGATAAAACATTAGATGTTATAAATTACAATAATTATGCCAATATTACCTGTCTGTGGTTTTATTTAAATGATTGAATTGAAAAAGGTATAAATATTTTTTTTAAAAAAGTTAAAAGGACAAGGTAAGGCCCACAAGTTGTCATAAAATCTCTTCTATTGGAATAAATTAATGAATGAGCAAATAAATAAATGAAATAAAATAAAATTACTTACATGCCGGTACTCTATTAATAGATGGATGGTAGAACATGTTTAAAACTACTGTATATTGTTGAATGGAGAACTCAATACTATTATTGCAGTTGTTTGACAGTAAACGGGGAGTTCTTGAGGAGGTAGATTTGATCCAAAGGTTAGGTAGAGACCATCGAGCAAAAAGACAAAAGAGGGAATGTAAAGGTAGTGGGGGCAAAAATATTGTTAGACAGGAAGTGCGATATTTAGAGGCCACATTAAACAAAGAAAGAGAGACTCTCTCCTTGTTTGACATCAAATTTAGTTGGGTTATGTTATTGTTTGTCCCAAATGTCACATGAAATCTTATTTATATTGAAGTTTTTTAATAATTGTGTCGCATTTTAGACTATTACCGTTAATAATTAATTAAAACTTTCTCGTCTAAGACACATTCTGGAAAATATTATATATCTACTGTTATAAAGTGTCGGAAAATTTAAATTTGGCGCATTTGCATTTCCGGATATGTCCACCATCAGAGGCCACTTTTTCGGTCTCCTTTTCATAAGGATTAGATTCCCTCTTTTGTCTTTTTGTTCGATGGTAGAGGCCCACGACCCACGAAACTGTGTTACTAGCACAACTCTATCCACGCCAACCAAGTTTGGCAGTAGCCTGGCCGTGGTTTGGGTTTAATATGCGACGCTCCGTCTAAAACCACGTTTTACAAAATAACCCACGCGTGGGATGCGCGTGGGATTTGCGTGGGCTGTGCTCAATTTGCGCCGGGCCTTAAGTCCTGCTCAAGTTTGTTGCGTATTCTCCGGTGTATAGTTTTTAAAAATATTTTGAGCGTATGACTCATTAAACTTATTATCCGTCATTCGGTGGTCTTGGCATTCTTTTGCATTTGGTTTTATTTTGTAATAAACTCTACATATACATAATTTATGTAAATATTTTTAAATTCAGTTGATAACAGTATAAAACCAGCATTTAGACACACCTCAATTTTGAAAATAATTTTCTAAAATATTTTTGCCTTTGTTCTTTTTGTACTCTATTTAGAAACGATCAAGTTTTGTAAATATGTGAATGTAGTGTACCTATGTAAATATTTTTGTAACTATTATAACTTTAGTAAACAATGATAAAGACCGGCTTTGAAACACACCTAACAATCGAATAAGTAATGCAAATCGAAAATAAAAGTATGATCCTGTCCAGAGGCGATCCCCCGCTGCCTGCGGTAGACACTTATCGGTAATAAATATTAATGACTCTCTTAGATCTCTGGTAGGACTTTATATATTTGTATATAAAATTTAATCTTTACGTTTGTATTCACTAAAGTAGTCATACTTATTCCAGGTAAATACATTGATAATGGACTTGATAGTCCGAAAACGTTTTGTGATGTAGCCCGAAAGGATCCTTTTAATTATATATATTTTATTAAGGATTTTAAAATAAAACTTTTGTTTTCTAATGGCATGTTCAAGTTAAATGTTGTATTTATATGGGACTAAACTACAATTGATTGTAATAAAAACTACATTTTGCGTTTATTTTTGACGTTTCGTTTTTGATTTCGGAAATCGTTTTCAAAGATTATTATTATAACTTGTTATTGTTTATTAATTGGGGTTTTGTTGTCCAGAGCCTTAAAGATACCTAATGTATATTGTTCCGAAGTGGAGATAGAAACGTCAAAATATACTTAATTTAATGTAAAATTCTCGCATAGTCCCAGAAAAATAGTAAATTGTATAAAAATTTATTACCTTCCTCTCTCACTGAATGTTATTTCCTCTGACTTTTCAAATGCTTCATTCAAACAACATCTTACTTTGTCTTGAACGTCAGGATACAAAATCATCATGAGAATAGCAAAATCTATCGTATTGCTTGTTGTTTGAGATCCAGCAATAAATATGTCCAAACAAATCATTAACAGTTGATCCTCTAAAACAGTTTTGTTAATTGTTACCTTGTTAACGCTAAACAATATTTTATTTGTTTTAAGAAAATAATAATTTTAATAATTTGTTGTCGTAAAAGACAAAGATAAAACATTTAAAAGAAATAACATGATTATCTAATGCGGAAACTAAAAATCCTTACCTACAAATTTTCAAGATAATAAATCTTCCCAGAAGAGTGAAAGGCATTACATGACGACAGACAGAGAAATCAAGAGAATATATTCATGAGAAAATAAAAAATTAGAGAACAAAATGTTAACCAAAGCATGTTTTATAAAATAGTTACCTCCAAATTTCGTTCTTTGTGTATGTTATTCTATTTTTTTCTGTTTATGGATTTGTTCTTTTTTTCTGTTTTTGCAATGATAATGATGGTTTTCATTTGTTCTCAGCATTCATCTATGTTGTTGGTATCTTCTAGTCTAATTTTGTAGAACTTTACATTACGTTAATTTCTTGAAAAAGCTTATTTAGAGTGCATGGGTATTGGTACGTGTTTAGTGATATTTTCGAGGTTTTCTGACTTTAACAGACTCTCTTTAGCCTAACTACAATTGTGCAGCACCCTAGAGTATGGTCTGACCGAATATCGGCACCTAGATAGGTAAGTCTTGACCGATTTTATGCAGTCTTTAAATCGATCATTGACTGTTATATAATCAATTCGATGTCTTACAACATTGTCTCCTTGATCACTTGTAGACATCCAATCATATAGACTACGGTTTGGCAGGGGCGGCTGGTCCGATGAGGCAGGTGAGGCAGTGCCTCACCAGTATTAATCGACTATTTACGTTCTTTAACTACAATTTAACTTTTTGAATTTTCTAAATAACTTTATTTTCATTATGATAAAAAATTAAAATAGGTACACCCCTGATGTCTTATCTTTGTATATTTCTTCATAATCTATGGGCCGGACAAGGGACAAGCTTAAACCACAAAATATTAAATAAACAACGGCGCCTATCATCTGTGCATCTTATTCTCTCTTTAAAAATTATAGCCGAGGCAAGCCTCACGACATTGCTCTGTCTAGCATATTAGACATCACATTATGTAGCGAAATTCAACATGATTTATTTATTTTCTGCCCACTATTTCACCGAACAGGAGAGGCAAGCCTCTCTCGTTTGGTGTAGTTCTTTAATTAGCAGCGTTGCCGTTTTGGTACAAAGGTACCCAATTCGCTACATTTTTTCCCTCGGGTATAAAAGTACATTTTAAATAAAACATAGATTTTTTATTTGAAAATTGTAACAACATTGGAGTATTTTCCTTTAGTAGATGGTACTATACATATTGTTCTATTGTTTTCCGATTTAACAAACAATATTTTTTTTCTATGCATTTACCAGATTAGCAACTTTGGTACATTTTGGAACATTTCTGCAAAATTGTTGTAGTAAGTAGTAGTTAAATTACTTCCTGTTGACCTGTTGGTGCGGCAGGATCACGTTTGACGTATCTCGTGTTGTTTTTCATTAAAAAAACAGTAAGATTACATGTTATATAATAAGTGCAATTCTAATTAAGTTTTTTTAATAATTTTGGTGGGTTTGTTTTTGTCTGCAGGATTTTCGGTTTTAGTGAAAAATGGATTTAGCACCGAGCACTTCGTCATAACTTTCCCAGGTAAATGTAAATATTCGTAATACTTGTAATCTCGTAAATTTTTTAGTCAAACAGCAGAATTTTTCAAGTCATTCATATGAAGATAAATTATATATAGTTAAAGTAGTAAAACGACCTATTCCAGATTTAAGTAAACATCTTGTTTCTATCGCTGGTGTCGGAAAACCAAATCGGGGATTTCAAAATGCATGGTACGAAAAGTTTGACTGGGTTACGGGTAGTATAACATTAAATAAATTGTTTTGTTGGCCATGCATTTTATTTGCCACAGCTAATACTAGCGACAAAGTTTGGTTCAAAAATGGTTATACTGATTTGAAAAATTTATCTCGGAGTCTATTGTTACACAATAAAAGTTCTCAACATATTACATCGAATTGCAAGCTTACTCTTATGAGAAAACAAAAGCAAAATATCGCTACAGCACTAGACAATTCGCGTAAAATAGATATTGAAAATTTCAATGCTAGGGTTAAAGAAAATCGGCAAATTTTAAAAAGCCTTATAGATATTACGTCACACCTCTGTATGCAAGAGTTACCGTTTAGGGGGCATGATGAATCTAATGAATCTTTAAATTGGGGGGAATTTCAAAGAGCTAGTTGTTCTTGTTAGTAAATTTGACACTAATTTAAAAACATTTTTAGAACATGATAATGACTCTAGATCAGTTTTTTCTGGGACATCTAAAACCATACAAAATGAATTAATCGATTCAATTGCTTTTGTTATAAATAAAAAAATTGAGGAAGAAATTTCAAAATCATTATTCTTTTCCTGGCAGGTGGATGAGACTACTGATATAAGCTGCCATTCACAACTATCCGTTATTTTTCGTTACGTAATAAACAATAAACCAGTCGAACGATTCATAGGATTTTACGATGTAAGTTCCGGGCGTTCTGCTCAAGATTTATTTGAATTTTTATCTACCAAATTTGATCGTGAAGAAGATGGCACTAGATTAGCAGTCGCCATTTATAACACTTACTAACAAATCTCCCAGATAAAAAATACCTACTAACCCCCAAAAAAATATAAAAATCCCAAAAAAATTAATAAAAAATATATAAATTCAAAAAAAAATATAAAATAATAAAAAATTCACAAAAAAATTATAAAAATATAAAAAGGCCACGGGAGAGGCCACCTAGATCCTTGAGGCTACAACTTGGCCGCTAACCAAGGTGCAGGTTCGAGGATTACAGCTCCCTCGTTTTTCGTTCGCTTTTATCTCACGATATGAGATTTCATGATAAACGGGAGTAAGTCGCTTAACGACACCTTGGGTATGATTTAAGTTACATTTACGAGCACCCTATTACACATGGTGCTCATAAATACAGCTCAATCGCGGACTTTTTCAAAAAGCAGTCAGCCCTTATGTTGCACCTTCAGTGCACATAAGGGAGGGTGGAGGAGGGCTTAGGAGAGCTTTGAGGTAAGGATGACTTTTGTTGATCCGCCCGCGTATCGTCAGAAGTCCTTCTCACGCCAAGTCATTGTTTGCTGGCGCGAGCAATGCCTCCTTAGCCGGGTATGACTGGAGCAAAGAGAAGCTAACCATAATAATAATAATTTTCCTTAAGTGTAGTGTGCCTCACCAGCTTGTACTATCACGAGCCGCCCCTGCGTTTTGGTAGATAAAACCATTTATTTATAATTACAATTTTTTTCTCTTGGAAGAACTGCACCAACCATTCTTCTCTGTCATTTCGAGGTCTTAGATCGAACTTTCCAGTAATATTGATAGTACTTTCTGATTCCACTATTACATTGTCCCCCGTGATAAGAGTAAGTTCGTGTCTTTTTGTCATAACTAAGGTTTCAGATACAAGTTGGTAAAATGTTTCACTCACGGTGTTTTCTTTGTCTGCAGTTGGTGCGTATACTTGTATTACATTTGTATCAACTAAAAATACAGCTTATTGATTTAGCATTACTAAATTTGATAATGGGACAGATTTTGCAAGTGATTTATTTACTGTGACGCTACGCCGTTTGATGTCACTCATCGTTTGTTTCAGAGTAATATATCTGATGGTCTTGAGAATTGTACTGTCCGTTGTTTGGCCACCTTGTTTCGCAGACTTCTAATATAGTCTGCACATTTCAAGTAAGAGGTTTCTAAGCTTTTCTGCTTGATATAACGTTTTAACATTCCACGTGCATATTTTATTTTTTTTTATGTTCATTTAACTTTAGTTAATTTTTATAGGGAATTCGCTTAATGGCGACCAAGGAAGCCTTCCAATCTTCATCTGCTAGATTTTCGGGTCCAAATCCACAATCAGTAACTCCTATTTTGTGGCTATTGCTTAATATTATGATTGTTCTTGGAATATCCTTAGGGATTTTTTATATAATGGTTTTCAGTTGCCTCCTATATCTTCATGCCGTTTATCGGCTGAACTCTCCTTTTAGGACAATTTTCTTATTGCAGGGACAAGTGTGTGCCCTTATTCTTTTCTTAGTCGTCCGCCTAAAGTTGTTAACTAACAAGAGAGGGACTACGAAACTGACTTACATATGGATAAAGATAAAGAAAATGGTATTAAAAAATGGTATTTAAATTAATAAAATTATTTTCTGTTGAAATAAATTAATTATTTACCTGTGAATGTAGTTGGTTTTCCATTGTTCCTTTTCATTTCGGATATAAACGAATATATTAAATCATCATCTCTGCCTTCTTTCCATGTCTTATAATGCTCGTTAATAGTTCCCATAAGCAATGTTTTTAACTCTTTGTTTAATTGTACTATAACATTGTAACCAGATTTTTCTGGAGCTATATACCTCAACCAAGGGAAAGTATTCAAGACTCCGCCAGCCATATTAAACGCTAATGCTCGTCTATCTAGCAGCTCCAATAAATTTATGAGACTGGGATCATTTCTTTCTAATCTTAAACCTATTTAAACAAATATTAATACATCATTGTTAAGGTATTCGGGACAAAATTTAATTTAAATGTTATGTTTATAGAGGATTAATTCATAATTATTTATTGTAATGAAAATCACATTTTTAACTAACTAATGTTTGACGATTTGATTTCCACTCCGAAAATTATTGTCAAAAAGATTATCTTGAAAAATTCTGGAAAAATCTATAACCAATAAGTTGTTGTTTGTAGGTTGTGTTTTTTATAATTGATACTAGATGATATTGCGTGTGATCAGTGCATAAAGACAAATAAAGAACTAAATAAAATGAAAAGTGAACTTGCGGTAGTAAGAACATGGGAACAAGATTTTTTCTTTATTAAAAGATAAATATAATAAAAATTCAGCCAAACCCGTATTAAAGTTAGGTAGCGAAAAAAATTGTAAATAAAGCACTCTTGAGCTGTTCAGTTTCAATCAGTTAAGAACCCATTAAATTTTCATTAAATAAAAACACAAGCCGACGTCATTCATACATTAGTGATAAACAGAAAGAAAATATAAACAATCTAGAAACAGGATACTAGTCTTGAAATACTCAATCTAAAAAAGAAAAAAAAATACAAACCCGTTATTGGAAGTGTAATGTAAACATAGCAAGAAAATAAAGAATTAAAATAAAGGGTAGTAGCATAGGGAAGAATAATTATTATTTAAATAATTATTATATATTCCAAATTAAATAAAGAATAAATTTGATACAGTAACGTATACATTTTAAATTATACAACGAAAAACAATTTGACCCAGTTAGTTGCATGACACGTGCCAATATCAGTTGCAACAATTGTTAAAAAAAAATAGTCATGTTTTAATAAACATAGACCTACGCTGGAAAATATCACCAGCACCGACCTGGTTTAAATCATGAGGGCTCAGCAAAAACTCGACCTTGGCACTACAACCTGCAAATAAGAATACGCGTTCATAAAAACCGAACGAAGTTGGCCAGCGGGATCAGTAGTATCAAGGAAGCGCGCGGGACGAGTAGTGTCCAGCCAGCGCTAGGGGGTCAGTAGTATAGGTGACTTCGATACGGTGAAACGCGCGATTGTTTTGATTGCCGGGAGATAGTTCGTATAAAGTGTCGAATACCGGCGAGTGAAAAGTTCCTGTCAGAACTCGATATTCTCCACAGCTGAACTTGAATTCCAGAGAAACTGAAGGGCTATTCATTAGCTAGAGCCTAAATACGCGAAGGTAACAAAAATCTATATACTAACCCAAGTAATATATAATAGTACAGATTGTCACCCCTTTACTTTCTTGCTAAGGTCTCTTCTCGTCTCCCTTCGCGCCTGAACGGATTATTATTGGTTATACCTGACAGCTTGTTAACTCAATTGTAATCACGTAGTATATTTAATACATTTTGTAGACTCGAAATTTGGTTTTAATGTCCCTTCCCGGCCGATTCAGACAGAGACCAGAAGAGTATAAAAGTTCTGCTTATGCAATTATTTGGCTTCTTAAAGTAAGCCCATACACTCAAACTTTTTACAGGACCGACCTGAGACCTAGAACTCCTATCCCAGAATTCCCTACCTTCTTGTAAATCCACGAAGGCAAGCCAGCCAGTTCAGACTAGTGGGATCAGTAAGCCTTGCAGCCGCTCGCAGGGATAAGCATCCTTAAGGTTCATGTCGAGGATGTTACAGTGGTGAAAGAGTTGTACTAAGGTGAAGATTTTCTCACCCTCTAGTTACAGATTTTACAATAGGGGATACAACTTAATTACTATTTATAACTGGGAATAAGCCACAATTAAAGATAAAAATACGTTTATTGACGTTTTTATCTTGACATTTATATTGACAATTCAGACATACATTATACATTTTAAAGTAGACGACTTTAAAATGATATTGCCAATATTGTTGAATTGCGCTCCTGGGACGACTTTACTTATAAGATAGTTCATTCGATTACATGAAATCAACTTTAACTTGAGAATATCCGTCAGAAAAAATCATACCATGTAATTCGTCTTTAAAAAGACAAACACATGACATGATGACAGTAAAATTCTCCTGTTAGTGATTCCATAGTAAATTATGAGGGAAAAACCAGGAAAAAAACCTCATAATACTATCCCGACATTGTAAGTATTTGTTCGTGAATTTAGTTTACCTTCAACAAACATCAAAATTCTGATTTTATATGTTACGTTATTTAAAAAACATAAATGATCTATCCGCTATATGTTACTGACTTACTAATACTGGTATTTTCTTATTAATAACTTCCTCCTTCAATATTGGTAACCAGATCCTACTACATTCTGCCGAGGAATTTGCGACACAATTGGCCTCATTTAGCATAATTAGAGCCGCTTCTTTGATTTTTCTTTTTTTTGCCATCCGTTTCTTTTAGGACTATATTTGAATTATTCCATTGAACCCTATGTTCATTATCCCATGCGTGTTTACATATTTGAGATCTATCAAATTCTCTATTTTTAATATAAGATTGATGTTCACTTATTCTAACATTTAATGGCCTTGATGATTCACCTAAATAAAACTGATCGCATTCACAAGGTATTTTATAAATGCAATTCTTTGTCCTTTCTTGTTCATTGTTAGGTTTGGTTTTGGACAAAATAGATCTCAACGTGTTTGTTGTTTTGAATGTTGTTGAAATGTTTAATAAGACAATAACATTTACCATGGAAAAGGAATATAATAACACGCTACCTTTCCTCGATGTTTTAATCTCTAAGAACGATACTGGATATGAGACTCAGGTGTATAGAAAACCAACACACACCAATAGATATTTAAATTTCAAATCAAATCACAATATTAATGTAAAAAAGGGAATAATTAAATCCTTATACGATAGAGCCAAAATTACTTGTTCTAACGAAAATTCGTTCTTGGAGGAGAAACATTTGTTAACATCTGTTTTATTAAAAAATGATTATCCTTTATCGTTAATAAATAAGGAATTTTCAACAATCGATCGAATAGAACAGAACAACTTAGAACGAGATCCTACAGCATACACAAGGAATAATATGAGGAAAATAACAATACCGTACATAAAAGGATTATCAGAAAAACTTAAAAGGATAGGAAATAAATTCAACATTTCAACAACATTCAAAACAACAAACACGTTGAGATCTATTTTGTCCAAAACCAAACCTAACAATGAACAAGAAAGGACAAAGAATTGCATTTATAAAATACCTTGTGAATGCGATCAGTTTTATTTAGGTGAATCATCAAGGCCATTAAATGTTAGAATAAGTGAACATCAATCTTATATTAAAAATAGAGAATTTGATAGATCTCAAATATGTAAACACGCATGGGATAATGAACATAGGGTTCAATGGAATAATTCAAATATAGTCCTAAAAGAAACGGATGGCAAAAAAAGAAAAATCAAAGAAGCGGCTCTAATTATGCTAAATGAGGCCAATTGTGTCGCAAATTCCTCGGCAGAATGTAGTAGGATCTGGTTACCAATATTGAAGGAGGAAGTTATTAATAAGAAAATACCAGTATTAGTAAGTCAGTAACATATAGCGGATAGATCATTTATGTTTTTTAAATAACGTAACATATAAAATCAGAATTTTGATGTTTGTTGAAGGTAAACTAAATTCACGAACAAATACTTACAATGTCGGGATAGTATTATGAGGTTTTTTTCCTGGTTTTTCCCTCATAATTTACTATGGAATCACTAACAGGAGAATTTTACTGTCATCATGTCATGTGATTGTCTTTTTAAAGACGAATTACATGGTATGATTTTTTCTGACGGATATTCTCAAGTTAAAGTTGATTTCATGTAATCGAATGAACTATCTTATAAGTAAAGTCGTCCAGGAGAGCAACTCAACAATATTGGCAATATCATTTTAAAGTCGTCTACTTTAAAATGTATAATGTATGTCTGAATTGTCAATATAAATGAGTCAGATAAAATTAAATTATTAGAAGAATTTTTTCACTATGTAACAAAAAACAAAATTTGTTTAATTTACTGTTTGTATTTTGAGAACGATTTCCGAATTGGAAATTGAAACGTCAATAAACGTATTTTTATCTTTAATTGTGGCTTATTCCCAGTTATAAATAGTAATTAATTTACAATGCCACAAGAAAATAGCTTCAGAACAATATAGGGGATACAACCTCCCGCTAGTTGTACAGCAACAAATCGTCTGCTGTAAAAACTATTCCTAGACAAGGTCATGTACATGTGTCACGCATAGGTGTTGATATGAAAGCCAATGATTATCTGAAATTCTTGGATGAGACGCAACCCTATAGCTTAACTAACAATAGCTTAACTGTGATAAAACGCAAAACTTTTTTACATCTGCAAGAAATTTACGTAACGATCCAGATAACAAAGAAGCTGTTAAACTAGTAAAAAAAATCAGAGATAATCGACTGAACTGGTCGGGTCTTACCTCACAACTAAAGAAAGAGCTATTGAGTTCATTATTTGTTATTCGCCAACTAGCAAGGGATGTTAACTTGAAACATTAAAATTACATATTTTTCTTTATTTCACTCACACTTAGCTATGGATTAATCATATGGGGTAATTCAGTAAATGCCCATCAAATTTTTAGAATGCAAAAGAAAGCTATCAGAATTTTAGTAGGGGTTAGAGTTATCTAGAACATTGAAAACCTTTCTTTATCAAATTCAAAATTATGCCGCTACCTACTCTGTTGACATTTTTCAAGTTCTGGCTGAAATTCACAGAAAACATGCTCATTTAATAACGCAGAATAGCAGAATTAAATTAAAAAAAAAATTAAAAAACTAAGCAGTAATAGTTTCCAAAAAGTTATAAAAAAATATCTGCTGAATTATTATTTTTTCTACTCAGAAGAATATACGACTCATTGCAGAACATCAACTGAACTGCTTACCATGACTTTTCCATAAATTGTTTTCTGTTAATCTGTGTTCTTGTTTGTGATGTTTTTAAATTACGTTTTAAATTCTTTTTTTATATACTCACCATATATTTTTGGCTTGATACAAACAATATTTGTACTTGTAAAGTAGTTAAATAAATAGATAAATGAATCAATCAAACCAAAAAGATGCTTAGTAATGTGAGAAGCATAGAAGAATTTGGTAAAAAATAAACCTTGTCAATTCAAGGTTACAATAAACATACATACCCGTCAAAGATTTCCAAAGTACATTTAACACGGAAACGGATATAATGGGCACAATCTTAAGTTCTTCATTTTTATGCTGTTTCAAGATTGTCATAATATCAGCCAGCTCTTCTCGGACCATGGTATCCATTGATTTAAAACCAAATCCAAGCGATTTAAGATGAGTAACAACAAAGTGTCGTTGTATTTTCCATAAATCACCATCAGTACCTACAACACCTGAAAATTTGTTTCTATTAAATATATTAATATAAATAAGTAGTAGCAAGGTAATTCATATTTTTTATGAACATAAAACATCCTTGTACGAGCTGTTAAGTGAGAAGGCCACTGCTTGCATACCCTTTTTGAAACAATTACGGGGAGGAGTTTAAGACCGCTTGCGCTGAAATTGCAGAACACAGATTGTCCAAAGGTGTGGTTTTTGACCAAAAACCCACGAGGTCTGGCCGTTGATTAAACGGTAACTAGTACAGGGTTACAGTAGAATATACTGGCCCTAAAAAATTATTTGTTATAGTAAAAACGCCTTCAGACACAAGTGTCACTAGGTCAAAAAAAATCATCACCTTTGGCGAGGGTCCACCGAGAGACCCTCTAGCAGCTTGGTAAATGCAATCATACGGTTTCTTAGGTAAATATAGCCACTTTCAAAAACTGTAAATAGCACGTCGGGTGGATAAGCCTTTTATACGAGGGTTTTTACTGCCCCTCTTCACTGGGATGCTCCGATAGTCTGCTAGTTTGCAGGACCCAATTTCCTAGAATACCTGGATAGCCCACTCCAGCCGGCCTGTGACTCATTCACTTACTTTCCAATGCCAATTCGTATGTCCTTCTAAAACATGATATCGAGGATGACATCCCCGATTATTCTTACAGAAATATCCATACAGAAATAATCTCCCTACAAGCCCGTTTTAACAATGAACGAGAGAACGAAATCGAGAGAAACAATCCAGATAACCGAATATTGTTAGAACTCGACTTTCCACCTTTATTAAAGACAACGCCACGCAAACAGTCCTCGTAGTAAATTAGTAAAACAAATTAAACTCGTAGTAAATGTTTAGCCCTTTAGCCTTTAAGTATGAAAAACTACTATTTCTCAAACAACACTATCTCAACCATCTACATCACAACCGTCAACCTTCAAGCAAATCGCAACACCAACTTCTCAATCCATAAATTTTCTAGATTTAAAAATTATCAGACTTTAAAACAAACATGAGTTTTCCGTATTTGATAAAGTTACCCATATTGACACGACTATACACAATTCACTGATCGTAAATCGTAAATTTACGATCGGTGTATCCTCCCTATACTCACGTATGGCTCACAGACGTGGACACTCACCAAGTCCAATATGAATAAAATAGTAAAAGCACAAAGAGGATGGTAAGATCAATGCTCGGGCTGCGACTTATAGACAAAAAAACAAACAAATAGATTAGAAGCAAAACGAAAATAAAAGATGCAGGAGAACATGCTGCCAAATTAAAATGGAGCATAGCAGGACAGAATGTCCGACTGAAGGATAAGAGATGGAACCACGAAATACAAAAATGGAGACCATAGATAGGAAAGAGAAGCAGAGGAAGACCACAAATGAGATGGGCTGATGACATTAAGAAGATCGGAGGACACAACTGGAAGCAAGTGGCGCAAAATAGAAGACACTGGATTGATTTGGGGGAGGCCTATGTCCAAAGATAGATTACTTAAGGCCGAAGAATAAGAAGAAGATACACAATTCATCATCCCATTCTACACAACATAAATTAGCAGCTTACCATAGCATGTTACATAGATTAATAGAAATTCCTATGGTAAAAAACAACTTGGAGATAGAATTAAATATTATTAAGCAAATCGGAGTACACAATGTGTACAACGAACAAACAATGAATTAAATTTTAAATCAAAAGCTGTATAAGAAAGCTATGAAATTAGTTTTTACACAACCAGAGAAAAACCCAGTACCTTCTGCTCGATTACGTATAAAGGCAAGATACCAACAAAAATAGCCAAACACATAAAAAAGAAAGGAATAAGTGACACCAAATTTCAGAAAAAACAACAATTTAGACAAATATATTAACACATGGCTGCCACAAGGATCACCGGCGATCATAACAGATTCACAGGTCAACAATGAATTTGATTTTTTAAAATAAACATCCTTTGTTAGGTAATTTTGACCTCCTGAATCCAAAACTGACATTAGTTTATTTCTATCACCTTTCAATTTTTCGCAAATTGAGATCTTATAAAAATTCCTTGATTATACGAAAAGTTTACATATAAAATTGGAAAAACGGTTTTTAGTGTAAATATATAGTACAGTTGTCCAAAAATATTTTAATAAAATTATGAATTGCGGCTGCACCTCTCCAAGTACTAAATAAACGCATCAAAATCAGTTATTTGTTTGTAGCAGTTCGAGGAGGTTTATCGCTGTGTTTCGAATTAGTGCTATTTATTTGTTATTCTATTCTTTTTTCGAGATATGGAATGGAGACATTGTGTTAATCAGCTCTTGTTATATTTGTGGCAGTTTTTTGGTTGCAAAACAAAGATATAACATAACCTTATTTCTTCGTAATGCGTATCATGCCTATTTTGGAGTGAAACTAGGAGGACAAGACAAATCTTGGGCACCACATATTGTATGTAAAGTTTGTGTAGAAGCTTTAAGAAGCTGGACAAAAGGAAGAAAAAAGTCATTGAGTTTTGGAGTTCCCATGGTGTGGCGTAAGACACAAAACCATTCTGATGATTGCTACTTTTGCTCCTGCGATTTAAAGGGATTTAATGGTAAGAAGAAAAAAAGTATTTTATACTGAACCTAAAATATGCTATTAGGCCTATTTCTCATGGCCCTGATGTAGCGATGCCTGTTCCAACAAAGGAGTTAGAGAATGTGTTATCGTCTGATTCGCAACAGTCTGCATTTGAGTCCACAGATCCTGACGTTACTTTTAAAGCAGAAGAAGGACCACAACTATTTAATCAAATGGAATTAAACGTTTTAATAAGAGACTTAAATATTCCCAAATATGCCTCAGAACTTCTAGCCTCTAGACTTCGTGATAAAAATTTGCTAGCTCCAGGTACATCAACCAGTTTCTAAAGAAATCGAGAAAAGGACATATTTTACTCAAGAAGATTTTTTAGTATATTGTAACAATATCTCCGACTTAGTTATTAAGCTAGGAGCTGCCTCTTATGAAAAGGAAGAATGGCGACTATTTATTGACTCTAGCAAAAGTAGTCTAAAAGGTGTTTTGCTGCACAATGGAAATAAACTTACTTCTGTTCCGGTCGCTCATTTTGTTCACCTTAAAAAAACATACGAAAATTTGAAACTTCTCTTAGAAAAAATTAAATACCGAGACCGTGACTGTATGCTTTGTGAAGATCTAAAAGTTCTGTGTATGTTATGCATATGAATATGTGCAACAGTCAGGTTATACTAAATATCCTTGCTTCATATTGTTCTGAAGCTATTTTCTTGTGGCATTGTAAATTAATTACTATTAAACTGGGAATAAGCCACAATTAAAGATAAAAATACGTTTATTGACGTTTCAGTTTCCACTTCGGAAATCGTTCTCAAAATACAAACAGTAAATTAAACAAATTTTGTTTTTTGTTACATAGTGAAAAATTCTTCTAATAATTTAATTTTATCTGACTCATTTATATTGACAATTCAGACATACATTATGCGTTTTAAAGTAGACGACTTGACGACTTGACGACTGACGAAAGAAGCCTTGTTTAGTATACAGGTGCTAGTACAGAGATGCGGAGATATAAATCAAAATGTGTATATTTGTGCAATCGATTTGAAAAAGCTTTTGACAAAGTCCGACATAACAAAATGCTAGAAATATTGGAAACAGCTGGATTGGACGATAAAGATCTACGAATAATTACAAATCTATACTGGCATCAAGTGGCAAGAATAAAGGTTGAACAAGAACTGTCGGATGAAATAAATATAAAAACAGGAGTGAGACAAGGCTGTATATTGTCGCCTTTACTTTTTAACTTATATTCGGAGGAAATATTTAAGGAAGCCTTAATGGAGACAACCGAAGGTATTATTGTGAATGGAGTAACCGTCAACAGTATTAGATATGCCGACGATACCTTAGTCCTTGCCAATTGCGGAGAAGACCTTCAAAATCTAATGAACAAAATAAAACAGACTTGTGATCAGTATGGATTAAAACTCAACGTTAAGAAAACTAAATATATGATAGTTAGCAAACAAAATTATATACATGATGACGGTATAAAAGTCGGAGATGCCACACTGGACAGAGTAGAGAAACTCGTGTATCTCGTCAGTAATATCAATGAGAGCTGGGATTCAACCGCAGAAATTAAAAGCCGAATAGAACAAGCCCGAGCTGCCTTTGTAAAAATGAGAAACGTACTTTGCAGTCACGATCTTAGCAATGACCTTAGAGTTCGTATGATATCTTGCTACATCTTTCCTGTCCTGCTGTATGGAGTAGAAGCGTGGACCCTAACTGAGGCTATGCTTAAACGCTTGACAGCCTTTGAGATGTGGGTATACAGACGACTACTGAAAATAAGCTGGGTCGACAGAGTTAGAAATGAGGAGGTCCTTAGACGGCTGAACCAAACAACACAACTGGTCAATATAATAAAGAAACGCAAGCTGGAATACTTCGGTCATATTATGAGACACCCTGAAAAATATGATCTTTTACATCTGATCATTCAGGGAAAGATCCAAGGTAATCGTGGTCCTGGTAGAAGAAGAACATCATGGCTGAAAAATCTAAGGCAATGGTATGGAAAATCAACTACATCGTTATTTAGAGCTGCTGTCAATAAAGTCACGATAGCGAATATGGTAGCCAACATGATATCCAACGATCGATAACGGTCATGGAACTAGAAGAAGAAGGATGCAATATGAGTTTAAAGGTACCTATATTTTTTATTCGCTCATCTAGACCAATTTCCAGGAAATCTTGACCTGTTAGCGAAGAGCAAGGGGAACGTTTTCACAAAGACATTAAGCAGATGGAAAGACATAAGATCAGGGTAAATGGAGCGTATCCATGATGGCAGACTACTTTCGGATGCTACAACGTGATAATACTGACAAAATTTATAGAAAAATTCCTACCAAACGCAGTTTTTTGACAAAAAGAAAAAATCAATATAAGGTT